CAGTTTATTCTGGATAAGTTCAGATATAACAATAGAGAACCAAACAGTCAACTGTAAACTAATGGAGAAATGGATAGCAATCACACCTTCCCCAACTTCTACTAATAGGATTATAAATTATTATGCAGCAAATTTCAAATGTCCATAATAAAAGACCACAGAGAAACATTCAAACAAATATTAGGTTGAAATGTTAACATATAACAAACCAGTAATGGGCCAGTCGCAATAGAAAATTCCTTTTATCCCGACATATAGAAAGACTTCTCATGTACTAGGTGCATATTAAGAGAGCTATTTTTGTTGCCTGTCTAAGCCAACCCGCAGTCCAGTCGTGTGGCAGATCAATGACTGCAATCCAGGACTTGAAATAACAGTACATATCACACATCCCAAGAGAGAACCAAATCCCTTTTGCTCTATATACCATCACCAGAAAGCAAAAATCCACACAGGGTCACACCTAACATACTTATCTAAGCACAAGACCTGAGAGACACGTAATTTTTCAAAAAAGGACCCAGACTTGTCAATTTAAATTCTTTACAATTTTATATGGATATATTATTTATACATATTAATAGGACAGGACTGATGACATGGCATGTCGGTCACTTGCTTGATGAGTGTCTTCTCTCAAGTATCCAAAGGTGTCAAAATTTTAAAAGTACATAAAAATATAGGACATGACATATGACTTGTCAGATAAATGATCTGGAGTGTTCGATGAGTCAGTGCGTGCTTCACAGCATTAGGCTTTCAGACATTAACTGATTCATCCAGTTGTTGCCAATAAAAGCATGGTCTTCTATCAATCTAGTGGACTTCCAACTATAAGGAATTTGTGAAACTTATTCAGGTCTGCCGCTGGAGGGCTCCACAAAATTAATAATAAGATGGACAAATTCGAAAATCCATTATTGTTCGATCGCCTATTTCAGGTGTTAGCAGGTCTAATATGGAAGAGAAATTTTGCTGTAGCCTTCAGCTTATAATCCATGTTTGGTTCTTGATGAAAATAAGGATCTTTACCACAACTGAGATATGGGCAGAGATGTTTACAGGACTCCGAGTTAAAAGTATCATTCATGTTATGTATTCATTATTCATTAACAGGAAAACGATTTAAATGTCATCACACAAACGAGAACAGAGTAAAATTCTCACAGATCATTAGAGAAATGGAGAACGAAAACAGTTTACTCACCCAGGAGGTTTGCCATATTCTGTTGTCAGCTCACCAAACCGGTAGTAAGAGAGCTTGTACCTAATAACCAATGGGAATGATAAATTTACATAACCAAACGAATTCATGCAAAAAAATAAAAAAAATGAGGCTCTGTGTTGTGAACAATCCAGCTCATTAGCATTCGATGTTCCAAATGTTAGAAACATAACTGAATTAAACTCTTAAGTGAAACAACAAATAATAATATTGTCACAGTAGAAATTATGGCTCAGAAAATTGAATCTAGTCGCTCATCAAAACAACAAATATGTGTATTTATTTTCATTGACAAGTAGCATTCCAAGAAAATACTATGTACAACATACAAGTAACTACATATATCACGTAAGCTAAATTTCTCAGTGAGAAACCAAAAGCCTTAAAAGATCGAAGAGAATTATACAATTTATTACAGCCAAAATATAAGAATATATGAACGGAAAATCATACAGGATAACAAAATGCAGGCTGAATTTGCGTAGTTTGAGCTATGATTACTGAACATAGTTAGTTGAGCAAACATACTTTTACTGGTGGAGAACTAATGTAGATTAACAACTCGTAGGAACGTACTGCGTACAAGAAAACAAACTGCCTACATGCTGCTTTGCTCTTCAAAAAGCCTGAAGCTATTTGGAGCTTGTTTGGTAAAGATTAAAATCGGATTAAATTGAAAAACTAACCGTTGTTGTTGACTTTTATTAGACGAGTGGAGCCCAATAACTGCTATATTTTCAATTTTAATTGGATTTTAATCGATACCAAACAGGCTCTCAATAAAAGAAAAAAGACTAAAAAATGAAGAAATAATTACAACCATAGTCCCATCTTTTTTTAAAAATTACGAATGAATCATAAATGAATAATTAAAAATAAAAACTTAAAAAATAAAAATCACCCCATCTTTCCATATGTGATTTCAAACAACACCCCACTCCACTCATACTTTGAATATTTTTTTAAATTCCCAATGCAAAGTATACTAGATAAATTCTTTCCGAAAATTTGAAACTCATCTGTCCGCATTTCAATGGAAAGAAGTGTAAGTGTTATGCCCTAAATCCAATCAATTTTGAACATAAACACTTTGAATATATATATATATATATATAATCAATGCATGTGTATGGCAATATCTATTATTTAATTGAATTAATATTCTAATAAATTAAATAATAGAATCCGTAGATTCAAGTCTTGGTGATTTGTTAATCACAAGGAGTTGTGATTGTGAGATACAAATTACATATGACT